GCTGGCAAGTTAGGCGGGGAACGTTGGAGTCTGCAGCAAGCAAGCCTCGTGCTCGCTTCAGTGCCTGGCTGCCGGCCGCCATCTTGGCTGACAGTTAATTTGCATATACTCACTGATTAGCCAATGAAAAGGGTAGCGGTCGTACGCTAATTACCATGTTTCTCTTTTATTAGTGTAGATAGTCATGTCACATTCAAACCTTAAGAATAAATCAGAGAGTATAATCTTCCTTGAAGTATTATGATTTTCACTATTACTTGAGGATCCATAAAACTTGTGACTGAGATGGACTCTATGTCTTTCTGTATTACATCCTTATTCAAACCCAAATTTCAAGGCTTTTATAATATTTTGAAGGAGGAAAAAAGTCTCAGGTGGAAAGATGGAAAATTTTAGGCCTTTAGACAGGTAGGCCTTGTAAAATGTAAGGTAGCAAAACACTTTGTTTTTTAACTGTCCTCCTGTATGATTAATCTACACACTTTCTCTGTATAATTCAATCCATAACCAAAGCTTTATCTATGCCTGTACATTAATGGCTCAAAAACTGCATCTCTAGCCTAGGCTTCTTTCCTGACCACCAACCACCAATGAGACAGAGAATTTTAAATGTGTGTGTACCATGGTAAAAAATTTATAAAAATAATAACTTTTACAATAACATTATGTTCCCTAAATATACTTTAATGTGAAGTATTATATAACATGTAATATTGCATTACTTCATATCCAGGAAACTGTGGAAAGCTTTATAATGTAGCTTTATAATATAAAGTTTTAATCTGTAGCAATATTGTAATATATAGATACTAGTGGCCCGGTGCACAAAATTCGTGCACGGGGAAGGGGATGTTCCTCAGCCCGGCCTGCACCCTCTCCAATCTGGGACCCCTCGAAGCATGTCCTACTGCTGGTTTACAGGGATCGGGCCTAAACCGGCAGTCAGACATCCCTCTTGCAATCCGGGACTACTGGCTCCTAACCACTCACCTGCCTGCCTGCCTGCCTGATTGTCCCTAACCACTCTGCCTGCTGGCCTGCTCGCCCCCAACTGCCCCCGTTGCCGGTCTGCTTGCCCCCAAATGCCCCCCTCCCCGCCAGCCTGATCATGCCAACTGCATCCCATGCCAGTGTGTTCGGCCCCAACTGCCTC